GCCTTTTTTTGTGTGATATTGGTATTGTGACAAATGACATTGATGTTTAAAACTTTTAGAAATATATATATACTAGAGGCCCAGTGCACAAAATTTGTGCACTGGGGGGGGGGGGGGTTCCCTCAGCCCAGCCTGTGCCCTCTTGCAGTCTGATAGCCCTCGGGAGTGGGCCTATGCAGGCAGTTGGACATCCTTAGGGCTGCTGCGAAGGCAGGAGAGGCTCCCACCATTGACGCTGTGCCCGCCAGCCATGAGCCCAGCTTATGGCTGAGTAGCACACCCCTGTGGGAGCGCACTGACCACTAGGGGGCAGCTCCTGCATTGAGCATTTAACCCTGGTGGTCAGTGCGTGTCATAGCAACCAGTCATTTGCATATTAGCCTTTTATTATATAGGATATATATATATATATATAAATATATATTTATTGATTTGAGAGAGGGAGAGAGAAACAGAAACATCAATGATGAGAGAGAATCATTAATCATTGATTGGCTGCCTCCTGCACGCCCCACACTGGGGATGAAGCCTGCACCCCAGGCATGTGCCCTAACCGGAAATTGAACTGTGACCTCCTGGTTTATAGGTTGATGCTCAACCACTGAGCCACACCGGCCTATTGTTTTGAAGTCTATTCCTCAGTTTGGATTTGTTTAAATATATCTTCATGGCTAGATTCAACTTAAACAATTTTTGACAGGATTGCTATAGGGATGTGTCTTTCTCAGTGTATCACATCATCGTTATTGGTGCTGTTAAATAGGACAGCTTGGTTAAGTTGATGTTTGTTAAATCTCACTATATCCTCTTCCCTACAACTTGCCACTTAGTGGTGGTTACAATAACTTCTTCAGAAAAAAAAAAAGCCTTAAAATTTTTTCTTGGTACATAGTTCATTTAGGACTTCATAAAAGGTAGATATTATACACTCATTGACAATTTATTGAATAAAGGAATGCTTAACATATATTAGCATTTACTCTGTTAGTTGAGTTTAAAAACATTGTCTTACTAGTAAAAGAATTGAGTAAATCAGCTTCTGCCAGCCAGAGTCTGCAGGATACAGTACCTATGTAAGCATCCATTGTGCTACTGGTACCAAAACCAGAGGTTCATTAAAAAAACACGAGAGAGGGTTTCTGTCCTTTGGATATTAGTTCTAGAATAGGCTGATGATGTTTTTGGATTCTTGCATTACAATATTGATTTGGGTAATGAGGCAATAACTTGAAAGAGCCAGGAACAGATTTCCCAGGGCATAGACTATTTTGCATAACAGGAGGGGCCATGATTTGGAAATGAAGTTGTAACAGTGGCACCTGGGATGGATCCATTACCCTTGAGGGAAAATAAGAGTGGTATTTTTCCCCAGTCCAGTTTGTTCCAGGCAGGGATGTATTAGTTGCTGTGTATTTTAGGACACACAGGGATTAGTAACTCAATTTCAAGCAAAGATAGGGCTGACTTCCTGACTAAGTAGGCAATGATGACATATGATTTGATTTGTCATTTTCAATTTTAAAAGAACCATATCACATATACTGATTATGCATTATCCTTCCTGTGTTCCATTCCTTTTAAATCTGATATTCTTTGTGACCTCAGTGCAGTAGTGGTCATTTGGGCCAAGCAGCACTTTGTGAAATCTCAGCTATTTGTTGAATGACTAGTAGCATTTGGTAAGCTTCACATGCTCATTTGATTACAGTGCTGACATCACTGTGCCGATGACCAAGGCTTAAGTCAGATCCTTGTGTTAACTGCCGACTAGTTTTACTTATTGACTGGGGAAATCACCCATTTGTTTGACCCATGTTTTTGAAATTTTGTATCATCATTTTCATTATATAGCCTCACTCCTGGCTTAAGAACTTACAGTAGTTTTTGTTGCACATTATGTCAAGCCCAAACTCCTTCCTGAAGTTTTAGGATTCTGCATTATTGGTTTTCATTTGTACAGTCCAGTCTTACTTTTCACAATTCCATAATTATTGTCCACTTCAGTTAAGCTTACTACTGTGTGACCTTAAGTAAGTTTTAAAATCTTTGAGCCTCAGTTGAATCTATAAAGAAGAAATAATAGCTCCTATATCACAGGGTTTTTAATGAGAATTAAGTGAAATAACATTTGTATTTTTAAAATAATAGCCTCCATTTAGAGAGATCTTAATAAGTACCAGAAGTATGCTATACTTCTAAAATTTGTTGTCTCTTTGCATCCTTATCACAGCTTTATGGGGTAGGATGAAGTTGTGGTGGTGGTAGTAGCACAGGTAGCGGTGATAATAGATGGCATAAGGTACCTCTGTTCCAGGTACTTTACATATTTCTATTTAGTCCTGTTAAACAATCTTATGAGGTTGGTACTATAATTGCTATTTTATAGATGAGGAAATTTAAGCACAGAGAGGTTCAATAACGTGCCTAAGTTTGTAATGTACATAGTAAATGTACAGTGGAGCTGCACTTTTAGGTATCAGTTTATCCCCCCCCCTTTTTTTTTTTGGTCTATTTGTTTTAGATGAGGAAGCTTAGAGGGGTTGATTAACTCACTAAAACTCATATCTTCTACACTAATAAAAGAGAAACATGGTAATTGGCGTACGACCGCTACCCTTTTCATTGGCTAATCAGTGAGTATATGCAAATTAACTGTCAGCCAAGATGGCGGCCGGCAGCCAGGCACTGAAGCAAACAGGGAGGCTTGCTTGCTTCAGTGACTGCGGACTCCAACGTTCCCCACCTAACTTGCCAGCCTCTCAGTTGCAACTCTAAGCAACTATATACTATGTTGCAAATAAGAAGCTAAACAAAACCCCAGAAAAGGGCTTCCATTCAGCCGGGCTC